ATTTTGATCAAAGCGGATCAAGCTGAGACGGCAACTGAATTCCTTTTACAGCTTCTTTTAGGAAACTTATCTCTAATATTTATTCACACTTCCGTTTAGGACTATAATTGCCCTTTTCACGCCCTTTGCTGCCTATGTAGTATATAGCAAAATCAAAATATTTAAGGAGCACATAATAAAACATTATTCATAGAATACGAGATTCGACAACCGTTGAATAAGGCTTATACATTGTGCCTAAAGGATTGATTCTCTCGAGCTCTTTATTACTCTGTTTGTTACCAGAATTTACTCTATGATTATTGAGTGATAATATATCAATATTTATCCCGATTCAAATTCATTAAAATGTCAATGAGGGCATTGAACGTTCCATTATGCAACTCCTGTGAGCATGATGATTTCGTCTTGGAAACCAGTTTTATCAACATGGCGGTTCTACTTTTTCTGACATTACCAACCTTACTTTGATAATGATTTTGAGATTTTTTCTGATTTAGATGTCGAAAAATTATCTTCATAATCAACACTATGGATTTATAAAACAAATGTAATTGTGGATTCAATAAATGAAAAAAAACGCACATATGGATACGCGAGTGGAAGACGAGGCAGAACCAACTGTGTCACTCATGTTCTTACCAAAATTTGACGTCTTCTGGGATCTGTTAGAGAGATTTAGCACCGCTTTTATGTGAAACGTGAACGGCAAGGGTGACCACGTGACATTGTGTTTCCCGCCATTTTTCCACGTTTGCCGGTTGCGCTTTCCATTTCTAAGTGAAAGTAACCTGTTTCGCGTTTGCCGTGTACGTAAGATTTAGCTTAACTTTTTCCGTCACAGAGTAAAAGCTATTGCCGGATGATGGGTACCAAAACTGTTCCTTGTAAGTCATACAAGAGTGCCTTCAAATATACCATGACGCGAGCTTACGCGAAGCTAAAAAGCAAGTTTCACGCTATTTTACGCGGGAAATGTGAAAGGCCAAGCTGACGTTTGTCGTTTCACGTAAAAGGGGTGCTAAGTCTCTCTATTACTTTACAGAGCCAGGGCAACATGGAATCTACTAAAATGTTGTCAATGGTAACGTTATCTATGAGTCTGGCGGTCCTACACTAAATCATAAGTATGAACCTATCAAAATGCATGTATAGAATCGCTGCACTCACTTGTTAGAAATATTATCAGCATTCGAGGATAAACTGTGTTACTTTGCGGCTGTATTACATCCTCTATTTAGCACCGTCATTTTGCTAACTTTGTTATCCTTTCCTAAGCAACTTGAAATTCTGCACCTTGCATAGCAGAACTGAGTTTGATGAAAAATCTTTATTTACTTGTTTATTTAGAGTAACCATTACTTTAAGTTTACTTCACGCACCTGGAATAGGAAACACGTATCTCGTATTTCAGCCCTGCGCATGCGTTGCTGCAGGAGTGCGTTGACATGTTGAATTTTTCTTAACACCTAATAAACTTATCATCGATGGTATAACTGAGAGTCAGTGTGCATGTTTCACAAGCTGATTAATCAGGTCAAAGCTAGCTTACGATAAGTGTTCCTTCGTTCTTTATTTTGTTTGTTTGTTTGCGTCGTGTTTTATACATAGTTCATGGGAATGGTGCAAAGTTGGAATGAATTCAATAAATAACACAGAAGTATCAGCACAAACCTTGTAGCCCAATATTGCTTCTGCACTTACCAGAAGTAATTACAAAATAAGACGCAAAAGTAGCCAACAAATACTGGAGAATATTGGGTATGGCCTGGGAGTAACGCCATGAGCCCGATTTAATGATAGCCAAAACTGAACAAAGTTACATCAAGGTAATTAAACTAAGGCTACACGTAAGCGTACCAGGGTGGCCAGAAAAAACCTGCCCCAAAAAACCTCATAGGAAAAAAGGGGAGACAGGAAATCTGGGACGGGCCACGCACATCTTACGTCCCCCGCCCGGACTCTACGAATTTACTCGAAATTACAAAGTCAGCAAAAGCGAAAATCTAATTCCTATCAAAACGATCATGGGAAAAATATAATGCCATAATGGTAAACATAACACGAATATCACAACATTAAATTGACAGATCCGTTGATACAGCTAAACGCTCACTTAGGACGTGCTTAATATATCTATGCTTAGTGGACTCGCACCTCCAACCAGCGTGGATATCTAACAAGTCACCAGCTATCTTCCTAAAAGCCAGATTAGGGGCCGCCCCAGACTTCAAACTGTGCGTGCCGTATCTGGAAACTTAATATGCCTCTTAAATTCCTCCCTTAAAGTGGAAACAGAAACACCTAAACTAGAATGAAAATACTCCTTAGACCTGGCTTTGACAATTCTGCGAACTAATGGGAACGCAGAGGAAGACTGTGGTAAAAGCTTAATCAACCGCTCAGTAACAGCTACAGGACAAGTAACCTTGCCGGTTCTAGCGAGAAAAGCAGTATGGCCTTCCCGATACTGGTCGTTTTTGCGCTGAGGCACATAAAC